TGTAACGTGAGTCACAAATTTAGAAAAGTAGACTTAGGCAGAAATGAAAAGTAAAAAGTGCTTACATGAAGTAGTTCCTAATATAGTGATACTACTCAGACAGTTTGTGGGCGCTTATATTGTATCCATGTTGTTTTCTGGCGGCTTTAAATGGTGGAAAGGTGAAAAAAAAGAGAAGATTAATCCATTGCAATCCGACATAAATATTGCTCTTTCACGAGTTATTACCGTTGATTTTAAGGTTAGATATTTATATTGTTAAATTACATTGTTCGTTCTTAAGGCTGTGATAAATTATTTTGAAAATATATGGTTTAAAAGTTCGCTTCAATTTATGATTCGATTTGCTTTGTCATAGTTTTTGTACAAACAAAATGGCGCTTACTGCGGCTGAGAGGCAAAGGAGAAGACGTGAAAAATTGAAACAACAAGGAAAGTATGAGGAATACAAAAGTCATCATCGTGAAATCGCCTAGAAAAGCCGTGATAAAAAGAAAGATCTGTTGGAGAATTTATCTCAACAAAGGAGAGAAATCTTTCAAAGAGAGCAGAGAGAAGCTACCAGGAAACTTGTGGCCAAATGCAGGGCATTAAAAAAAGAAAAGGAAAAAGAAAGTGTTGTGACGCCATCATTCGTAAGTGCAGTCGCTTTCTCTAGAGCAACAGCTAGAGCTAAAAGAGCACTCAAGAATGGCACTACCGAAGTCCCCAAGAAGACGAAAAGCAGTCCACCGAAAACTATATGAAAGTGAATTAGATGGCAGTAGTATATCATCTTCAACCGACTCACCAAAAAGATCCGATGCTTTGAGCGATGAACTAGTTGAACTAGTAAAAACTTTCTACCAAAGAGATGACATTAGCAGACAGGCACCTGGTAGAAAAGATGTAATTAATGTCCGAGACAAGAATGGGCAAAAGGTTTCTTATCAAACTCGTCATCTCACCTCCTCGGTCATGGAGACTTATGCTCTTTTCTGCAAAGAGTATCCCAACAAAATTGGAAAAAGTAAATTTGCCGAACTTAGACCAAAACATGTTTTACTGAGTAGCAAACTACCCCACAATGTATGCTTGTGTAAATACCATGAAAACTTTATAAATGCTGTAAATATATTACATCAAGTCTCACCAAGTGTACCACTTTACACAAACGAGTTCCCACAATCATGCCTCTGCAACCCTGTGAAGAGAGAGTGCTGGATGAACCAATGTGAACAGTGCAAAGATGGTAAGGGTTTTCGTAATTCTTATCCACTAGAAGAAAATGATGACGTCAAGTGGTATGTCTGGAAGACAGACAGTAGTAATAAACTTGTGAAAAATGTAGAGGAGGGCACCACCGAGGAGCTGTATACCCATATATGCTCAATTATCCCCCAATTCATGGCACACTGCTTCACAAAAAGAATGCAGGCAGAAGCCTATAACAAAGAGCGAAAGGATGCAGAAGCAGATTCAGAATCGCTTTCGAATGCTGCTTTTCTTCAAGTGGACTTCTCTGAGAATTACACTTGTGTTTCCCAAGATGAAATTCAGAGTGCCCATTGGAAGCAAAGTCAAGTTAGTTTGTTTACTGCTGCGTTATGGTATTCTGGTATCCTACACCCCATTGTCATAGCATCGGACAATCTGAATCACTCCAAGGATACAATAGTGGCGTACATTGATTATCTGCTATCTATTCTACCATCCAACACCCAAAACATTTCCATCTGGTCCGATGGCCCATCGTCCCAGTTCAAGAACCGGTTTATAGTAGCTGCACTAAAGTCCCTCCAAGATAAGCACAAGATCCAGATTACATGGAACTATTTTGCAACTTCACATGGGAAGGGACCAGTCGATGGCATTGGTGGGGCAGTCAAGCGTCAGGTGTGGATGACTGTGAAGACGAGAAAACACATTGTCTGTGATGCTAAGAGCTTTGTCGTTGCAGCCGAAGATTCCTCCAATGTGAAGGTTGTTGAGATGGCTACATCAGAGATCGAGGAAAGAAACACATCTCTGAATACTAAAGAAGTGTTTGAAGATGCAAGCCCAATCCCAGGCATTGCTGCAATCCATTCGATCAAGATTGACAACGCGGGGAAGATTGTTGGGCGTGCCTTGGTGGAAGAAGAAACTGACATGCCTCGATGTGGTGACGAAGGGAGTAATGCCAGTGTAAATGAGGAACTTTGTCAGATTGAGGTTGGTGATTGGTATACTGTGGAGTACGAGGGAAAAATATATCCTGGAGAAGTAAAATATGTTACAGCTGATGATATCCAGGTGTCGGTGATGGTGAGAGCCGGGAAATACTGGAAGTGGCCAACAATTCCTGATGAGATCTTTTACCAACAAGATAAGTTTGTACGAAAGTTAAACGCACCAGTAGTTGTTAATTCCCGTGGACACTTTCAATTTTCAGATTTTTAAACACTTATTGCCGTGGCTAGTTAGGTTATATACCGGTACATATTCTGTACAATAACATGATTGTTTTTTATATAAGTTGATATACTGTAATCTGTTGTTTTTCCAAGTATAAAGTTAGAAGATACACTTAGGTTGTCTCAGGTGTTGGTGTTAATGTTTCAGAATCTAGTGGAAACAATTCTGAACTGAACTATTAAGATGAACCATATATGTAACATGAGTCACGTAACATGAGTCACATGTATTATTTAGCTATCCTTACAGTTGTAATCCAAAATATAATAATTTTTTTATGGTTGTTTGCCTAACATATTGTCAGTTACTTGATAGACATTTGTATGTTTCTCCATTTGTGGTTTCCGAAGAAATTCAAAAGTTGTTAGTTTGGTGTTAGCTCATGTCACTTTGTCGTAACATGAGTCACACAACAATTTACCGTCACCAAAATTACCACGTCATAAATATGTGCTCAATTTTTACTGTGAATCAGCAGCCCACTACTATTTTTACTTGCATGCACAAATTTGCCAGTAAAAAAAATATTACTTATTATACCAGATGAAAATTACTCTGGTAATTTTGTTCATAATGTAACATGAGTCACCATGGAATTACCCCCCTGATATTAAAGTACAAATGCGAGTAATATAAGGCCATTTAATATCCACACCCCCTGTTGACTATAGGTTACTGATTTTAGACACTTTCGGAAACGATTTTTCGGGAGACATCCTCAGAAATTCGTTGTTTTTTGTAAAAAACCCTTTACGATTTTTCTCAAGGCCCTCGGAAATTACCCTGGATTCCAGAGCCTTCAGTAAATAATAAATTGAAACATCGTGAAGGCTCTGGTTGAACGGAAGGATTCTTAATTTGATTATACCGCGCCAATCACAAAACAGAATTAGTGGTTTTGGTACAGAATCTGTACCTTTGATCTGTACAGTATCTGTACTAAAACCACTAATTCTGTTTTGTGATTGGCGCGGTTTAATCAAAGAATCCTCCCGTTGAACCAGAGCCTTCACGACGTTTCAATTTATTATTTACTGAAGGCTCTGGAATCCAGGGTACTCGGAAATACCTGTTGACGTGGTTCAATTACGATAGACCCCCTCGGAAATTTTCGACTGATTTATTCACCCCCCTCAGAAATTTTCGGAAATTTATTGACCACCCCTTGGAAATTATCGTTAACAGGTAGTATCTTCCCCTCCCCCCCTGAAAATTAAAAAATGTTGACCCCTTCAGAAATTGTCCTTTTATTGTTGACCCCTTCAGAAATTGTCCAATAAGTTCCTAGCTTCATGGGCAATATTACAATTTACAATTTACAAAGCGCAGTTCGAAGGTTTCTACTTATTTGCCGATTTTCAGCTCAGGTACAGGCTGTGATTTGTCGGGTTGTGCAGGCACGCGACCGCAATGCATTATGCAACACGATATAAAAGTGCTTTCAGCATATCATAAAAGTTTAGCATGTCACATAAAAATTTGGAATACGATGTAAAATGGTTGCGGCAAAATTAAAGTTTGGCATGTTATAAAAAATTTTGGCATGTTATTTAAAAGTTTAGAATAAGTTATATAATTTGACAACACGATGCAAGAAGTTCTGAATGTATATGATGATGTTTAGAATGGCCTTCATAAGTTTAGCACAAGTTTTTGAAAATTATCACTGTGTATGTAAAATATGCCATATATATTTTGAATTTAGCATGTTATATAATAAGTTCAGAATAATGTCTGATTCCGCGCCTCATATCATGCAGTTACATTATATGTGTAACTAAAGCCAGTAGTTCATGTATACACACCCTGACCCTGTGTCAGGACCTAAAAATTGGCATACATGAAGTAGTCCCCCATCTGCATATAGCCATATACTCACAGCCTGATGTTTGAAGTAAGTCTTCAAGGAAATGCAAGATAATCCAACATTCTTGAAAACTAGAAATATTTTGGATGGTGAAGCACCAGACACCAGGACTGAAAAACAGAGCAGGAAGTTCATTGCTGGCATTTTTGTTCTTGTCATGATTGGCTGACTTTTCCAGGTATTCTCGGGAGATGAACAGTCCAGGTTAAAGCACTTTGTTGTTATTTTAACCATAGTACCAAGAACACTCGTTTCAATAAAGGGCTTCTCTGATTTACAAGCTGGACATACGTTGAATAGGAGCAGTAGTTGAGACAAGAACACAATGAACTTTGGCTCGGCTCGTAAGTTTTCTGAATTATCTAGAGTCCTATAACAATGAGGACAACAAAATATATCTATTAATAAACATAATTCAAGACTAGAACATGCTCAACAGTTGTAAATTATACTATAATTATTATTATACTGGGATAAATTGCACACAATATAACCAAGGCTAAATTTTCTATCCAATTTACAAAGTGATATATATCCTATTACAATAAGTTTTTTTTACTAGTAATTAAAAATGTATAGATTTCCCACTTCTGACTATTATTAAAAATATTTACAGCATATAAAATTGGGCTGTTCTTAAATCTGCTAATTTTACTATAAAAAGTGTGAATAATCTTTATTGGATCTTGTGTTCCTTCTAGCTACTTAACTTTTCCTTGGCGGGAGGAGATGATTAAGTTTGTGATCTTCATGGGATAGATTTTACATTCCCATAACAGATACTCCTAGCTACAGTACTTGACATATTTTTATTAATATGTTAACATTTTATTACAGTATGTGTACAATTTACTGCAGGAACTGCCCATAGAAAATTTTAAAAACTTTAATGCCCTGATGGAAAGCCTTGATGTACTGTATGTACACTGATGTGCCCTACTTTATTTTTTAACTCTGTCTAACGCCAGATGATTTTGCTTTTCAAGCTAGGGAGGAGTGCTGCCATTTAACAGGTTAAACTTACTTTATAACTTGTGGTTCTTCATCATCTGAAGACAAGTCTGATTCTGACAAATCTGCTTCTGGAGCAGATTCAGTACCAGAAGCCAAGCTAGGTTCAGGAGAAGAAACTTCTGAATAGTCAGGCTCCTCTTCAATGTCCATTTCTTCATCACTGCTTACAAAGGTTTCGTCTTCTAATTTCTCCTCCATAGCAGCTACTTTGGCCATACTCTCATCTATACTCTCTGTAGTAGAAGATGCTATCTATAGTATAGAGCACTAATATAACATTACACTTTGAAAGACTGTGCACAGCACTTTGTAGTGATAGAATAATGCACCTCCTGAAAAACCTCACCCCTAGAACTATTTGTGTCTAGTTCAATGATAATTGTTGTGCTTTTGATGTTGAGGTATTCTCACCTTTTTGTTTTTGTATTGCAGCCTCCTTGACTTGGATTTTTAGTTAAGACCAATAATCTTATTGCAGAGTTGGCAGTTTTGGCTTTTCAATTTCTTACAACCCAAACACTCTGGTGTTTGGCAGGAAGCCTCTTCAGTCTAGAAAATAATAATTGAAAAATTTGTGATATATTTTCAGCAAACATATTTCTAATGGTAAATTTGCAAATTTGAATCGTTCAACTTACAGATAAAGGTTGTTGGACGGGATAAAGGCTGTCAGATGTCACCGTTTGATCATCAACCAAGCCAGGCTCATCAGTAGTGGATGTTGTTGAGGTACTAGCTTCGGCCTCACTGGTTTTGGCAACATTTTCTTTTAGTAGTTCTCTTACAACCTATCCAAATGAGAAGGGCATGTTTGTGAGTTTACTGAGTTGACTATACAGAATGTGTGAATGAATAAAGCGGAGTGAATAAAGAATATTGTACTTACACGGCGATGCTTTCTCGTTGAAATTGGATGAGTCGGATCGACACTGTCTTGGCTTTGGCCATGTTTGTCGTAATTGCTGGGTTCAGGAGTCTTATGAATCGAAGGAACAGCACCTTTTCGTAATACTGATCGACTAACGAAATCCGTTCCAGGTATAGTCACAAATGGACTTTCAAAATCTTCGGTTTGAAAGTGCTGTGAACAAAGCCGGGAGTTTGCTGTTGGCGACCATTTTACACATTTTGTCCGCACAAATGCAACCCAAAGTCATCGTCTTTTCTTCTCTAAATCGTTATCCTCGGGAAATTTATGAAGACCGATATTTTGTGAAGGGTCAGGAACATTAGAACAACCACCAGCTACACATCTATTAGGCATATTCTTTTATAAAACTCGAAGAAATTTGCGCGTAAAGCTAGTAGCGGAATAGATGTAAATACAAATTGCAAAATGCGAGTCCCTCGTGCTATGTCACTAGGCCCAATCTCTTCGTAAATCACTTTGCACGGCCAGAAAGCTTAGATAGTTAAAAAATGCACTATTTTCACACCGTTTTGACTGAGAAAAAGCATAAAAAAGGGTAAAAATGGATTTATTTCCAAAAAATATCATTACTAGTATGCTCCACTTTCAAATTGTAAAATAAAAAAAACTGGGTGATAGGCACTTTAAACGCTCATTTCGTTAAAACATTTTACATAAAAGTCAAGTGAAAAATTCCGTTTTCTTTATGTGGTTTATACTAAAACAGTTAGACAACTCAGCCTTGTTGTCTCTGAATGAATAGACAACTCAGCTTCACCTCGTTGACTATTCGCTCATAGACAACTCTGCTTCATTGTCTAATTGTTATATGGTCATTGTTAGTTATAGTTACAGTTCTGGTGTTGATCTTTGAAAAAATCATGCACTTTGTGAAGAAAGCACCAAATTCACAGGAAGTGTAGACTTTAACATTATAATGAATCTTAGATATGGAGGCATCACCAAAATTAATGCTGACAGCTTAAAATTTAGGATTTCTTATATTCTCTTATTAATCTCTTACACAATTAAAAATTGTGAAATTGTAGGTTCACATATGGCAAAAATGACATGCGTCATTACAAAGCTTACAAAAAACTGTATAGATAAAATGATATAGATAAAATGCCATACAAAACAAAAGATAAAATGCCATACAAAACAAAACCTCGTAGCAATAGTCACTATTGCTACCGTAAAGCAGACTGGGCAAAATTGCAAAATCTCCTACACCTTGCTCCATGGCACCTCTCTTTGACCGAACATGACATGGATAGCAAGTGGCAAGTCTGGAAAGATCTACTAGCATCAGCCGTTGACGATAGTATCCCCAAGGTGGGTGCTAAGAGAAGGCAAAATGCCCCATGGATAACGCGGGAATTGATCTTGCTATGTCGGAAGAAAAGGTCAGCTTATAAGAAAGCAAAGAGAACTGGTAAGACGCGGGATCAAAACTACTATAGTAAACTAAATAATATGGTTAAAAGGAAATGCAATATTGCTCGATGGGAATATATAAATAGTTTAGCCGAAAAAATCTCGAGCAATGATGCGAAACCGTTTTGGAGATATGTAAATTCTAAGCGGAAGGGAACAAACAGTCTAATATTATTAAAAACACAGGATGGAGAGATTACAAAAGACAGTGAAATTGCGGAGAGTATGAATAATTATTTTTCATCAGTGTTTACCGAGGAAACTTTTGAAAACTTTCTGTCAATGGTACGAAGGACAAAGGATAGTTTAACTAATATCAAATGCACCATTGCGGAAGTTGAATGTCACCTGAAACAGTTGAATGTAAACAAATCTCCCGGTCCAGATGATATTTCTCCACATGTTTTAAAACAATGTTGCACACAGCTTGCACCTTCCCTAACAACTATTTTAAACGAGTCTTTTTCCACTGGTAAACTCCCGTATGATTGGAAGATTGCAAATATCGCACCTGTACATAAACGAAAGTCGAAATCTATGAAAGAAAATTATCGTCAAATCTCTCTAACGTCAGTCATTTCAAAAGTCGCCGAGAAGATCGTTCAAAACAGATGTGTAAAATTCTGGCTAGATCGACATATTTTTTGTGAACATCAATTCGGTTTCCAAGCAAATAAATCTACACTATCCCAACTGCTTCTATGTTTCAATGACTGGGCTAGAGACGAAGCTACTCCCACTGATGTTGTAATTATGGATTTTTGTAAAGCTTTTGACAGTGTGCCACATGAGCGCTTACTATACAAATTGAAACAACACGGTATCGGTGGAGCACTGCTCGATTGGTTTAGATACTTTCTCACGGACCGCTATCAGCGTGTTATTGTACATGGCTCGCAATCAAACTGGTCCCCAGTTAAATCAGGGGTACCCCAGGGAACAATCTTAGGTCCAATATTGTTCCTCATTTATATAAACGACCTACCCTCGGAAATCCAAAGCTCGATTAAGCTCTTCGCAGATGGCACAAAAATTTACTGAAAATTAGTAGACAAAGTTGCCGATACTAGTATTTTACAATCTGATTTAGACCATATGAGAAATTGGACTGAAAATTGGCAACTAAACTTCAACTTTGAGAAATGCGAAGTAATGCGAATAACCCACTCAAAAGACCTCTCTCTACCCGAATACTATCTGTCAGATAGGAAACTTGAAGTAACAGACGAATTTAAAGACCTAGGTATTATGATGACACATAACCTAGCTTGGTCATCTCATGTTCATAATATTACTAGTAAAGCAAACCGAATGCTAGGTCTGGTTAAGCAAACCGTTGGATCATCAAACTTAGCAACATTCACCTTATTGTACAAAGCCTTGGTTAGACCTGTACTGGAATATTCCGCACCTGTCTGGTCGCCACACTTATCCAAAGATATCAAGGCTCTTGAATCCGTTCAGAGAAGAGAGATCCGTTCAGAGAGATGTCCTACCCAGATCGTTGTGTCTTACTAAAATGGAATACTTTGGGAAAACGCAGAGAGTACTTATCTCTCATAGAGTGCTATAAAACAGTTTTTGGCCTAAATGGTATAAACTTCGATGTCGAAGTTTTTGAATATAAGAAATCGAGGAAAACCAGATCAAATCACAAATATACACTATATACCAAGCTTTCTAGAGTTAACTCTTATAAGTATTCTTTTTTTGTCAGAATAGTCACTGCATGGAACGCTTTGCCTCTGAACGTCTTCGAAGCGAATAGTTTTCATAGTTTCAAGCAGGAACTCAAGCGCCACATGAATATTTACTAATTTGCTAATTTACTAATTTACTAATATGTCTATCTTAGTTTACTAATATACACTCATTAATGTACATACTATTAACACTTTTTATCAACTAATCCTTTCTAAGGGAGTTCTTATATAGGGTTAACCTTCCGATCCTCCTGCAAGGACCTACCTCCTGTATATAGATCGTAGGTACCTTGATTAAATATTTTGATTGATTGATTGATTGATAAGCAGTTACTTTGATTTTCCAACTCCTCTGGAGTTATGAGCAGTTGAAAATATGTTTTAGGGCTAGTGTCCAGGACTTTGGTGGGATTTTTGCCTATTTATCACATTTTTAAATAGCAATAACTGGAAAACCGCTTGGAAAATCAATCAGCCGTTTAAAAGTCGTAGAGGTAGTTTTTTGTAAGCTTTCTAATCATGCAAGTCATTTTTGCTATATGTGAACCTGCAATTTCACAATTTTAAACCGTAGTAGAGTTTAACAAGAGAATATAAGAAATCCTAAATTTTAAGCCGTCAGCATCAATTTTGGCGATGCCACCATATCTAAGATTCATTATCATGTTGAACTCTAGACTTCCTGTGAATTTGGTGCTTTCTTCACAAAGTGCACGATTTTTTACTTTTCCGCTGGACTAAACAGGGCAAACATATGTCAAGGACTAGGTGTGAAGAGAGTTACATAATCATTTATACCATATACAATGATAAATATCCATCATTAGTTTTTTCAATGAGAATTTTTATTTGTAAAGTAGTGACACTTTGTTTTTCATGTCACTCATCACCTAAAGGGGCAATATCTCCATAAATCACGTTGGGGATGTTTTACCGTGAAACGCTCACTCGTCACTAGTTCCCAAATTAGGGATTTGATTGTGCGGTCAATTATGTTGCGCACGTTTGGCCTGATATATTTAATGCGACAGATCATTGTTTAATGTTAAATGATCGGAAATAATCGTTTTTTGTTGCCATGGTAACTCAAGAAGAGCTCTTTGGCTATCAGTTGTCCTCCATTTTGTTTGCATTTCTTTGGTTTGTCATGGCCTTTTCCCCATTCCTGCCAAGGTATATTTGAGCAACAACAGCTCACCGAAATTATTAACTCTGCGCAATTCATGTTTTAATCTGAACTCATAAAATTTTATCAAAATCTAAAACGAGAGAGTTTTAGAGCAAAACCTGAGCTTTTCAATGATATATAATACATGTTGTTTCATTGTAATTGCAGACTTTTGAACCAGGCTGTTTTCCCATACGTATGCCATAGAGACAATTAAGTCATGTCTAAGGCTAAACAGCACTTCGATATTGGTGCGTGGTCAAGAGAAAAGAAGGCCAAACGTCAGGAAATTATTGCAAGTAACCGTACAATTGGATTTGAAAGACTGCATTAAAGCAAGTGAGGAGGTAATTAAACTTCTCAAGAGGACGGTAGCTAAAATTAAAATTTTTTTCTTGTAAAAGACTGGTTTGCTTACATGCTCAATTTCCAATTCTGTTGAAGAGATTGCAAATTAACTAGAAGGGTTTGAATTTGATTTTTAAGTGGTGCTTATTTTCATTCTATATTTATGATTTATGACGTTAACTTTGTGGACTGGTTGTTACCCATGTACATAAGCATGCAATTTGGCAGACTGGTATTAGCAATTTGCAAGATCTACTTAGGGGCTAAGTCTATATTCATGTTACATAATGCCAAGCATAACTTTGAACAAAGTTATAAATTCTACCAACTCACCCGTCTCAGATAATGTCGATTATGGCAGTTCTTTCTAGACTGATAAATGCTCAAATTGACATGTGCATATCTGTAGGCATAATGAACACCCCAGTGAATTGCTAGTTATAAAAGAAATACCTAAAATACCTTGTGTAAACCTAAACTAAAATGCGAAACAGACATTCTGTTTATTTTTCAGAGAGGATTTTTGGCAAATGAAAAAGTCAAGCTCCCTCGTAATTCCCATCCAAAGTCTTCGTCAGTTATTAACCAATCCTGTAGCAAAAAGCATGACATTCCTAAGAGTACTGCACGGAAAAGAAGAAAGTTGATGTTTGATCATGCAGAAAGAATTAATGATAGGTCTTCTGACAACGAGAGCTTGAAACGGAAGTCTTCTTTGGATGGCATTTGGAGTACCTTAATTAATTCTGCTAGTGCACAAGAGATGAAATCGTACATGGAGAAGTCTCCATTGGTTCTCACTAATGTTATTCCTTCCATTGTTAACGACGCAGTGGTTAAATATGAACATAGCCAAAAGAACCTGGTGCAGTCACTAGGAGTCCTTTATGAAGGTAGCATCTCCAGCACAAAACAGTACAACAGGAAGCGAAGTCGGGAAACATTTGAAACTGATCAACATGGTAAGAAGCACCAAATAACGTTTATGAAAGGATGCAAAGTCCCCAAGCTCATGGAATACAAAAAAGTGAGCCAGTTTGTAAATTCAATGGATATTGGTGAACTCAAACAGATTCCAGAAGCGAAAAAATCCGCTCTTGACAAACAGTTGGATCAACAATCAGACGATGAACTGAACAGTGGTGAGCATGCTGTGTCAGGTTGTTACAGAGACTTAGAGTCCACTTTACTTAAGCTTGCAAATTTGTACTTAATTATAGATAATGCACGACCTGGGTTTCTTAACTGGTTCAGTTCCCCTAAAGGCATGTTTCAGGTATCCCTTGGAGCAGACAGGGCCCCATTTGGTAAATATAACTAGGCGACAGCTTGGCTTATTTCTTTTTTAAATGTTGCCGATAGAGTGGGAAGTTGTGATGAAAACTATTTAATATGTGGGGCAAATTGCTCGGAAGAGCACCAATCAATGGTTGAGTATGGTAAGCTACTTAGAAAAGAGATGGAAATGATTGAAAAGAAGTCATACATCATTGAGGGAATTTCGGTCTCTTTTTCGTTCGAGTTAATTCCGGCAGATATGAAGTGGTTAGCCTTTATCTCTGGGGAGCTTCCAAACTCAGCCACCTACTTTTCATCATTTTCTAATGTTTCACAATCCAAAAAGGGTAAAATGGGTGTAACTTTTGGGTCAACTTGCGATGATTATTTTAAACCGTGGAACTACCAAAAACGTTTGCAAGATGTAAAACGTGTTGAAAAACACAAGAGTAAGCTTACCCCAAAGCAGATAGTTGGCCGGACTAAGGTAACTCAGTTCATTGCAAGTCAAAAATCTTGCCAAGAATTTGAACCTATTTTAGGGCCTTTTATAGACAAGGCTGTTGTAGAACCATTACATTTGGCAAACAATAATTGGGTCTCTTGACCAGTGAATCTGAAATGAAAAGCAATGCCACTTTTACGACCTTCTCTAAACCACCTTAAGACTGAGTTGTACAATCGGCATGCTTTTACTTTCTTTTTTAAACACGACAAAAACTTTCTCAAACAACAACTCTTGGGTAAGTCTGTTATTTTTCTGGCACTACTTGGAATAACTGTTTTCAAAACAGGGTTAGGTTTAAACACCATGCAAGGCCGGGAGGCAAAACACCAACGGTTGGGGGAATATGCTAAAAATACCACACATCAGAACAAATGGCAGCAAATTTTCAGACATGAATATGTATCATTAGTTTGGCTGAGAAAACAAAACCCATACACTGACACTTACTCTAAGACCAAATTTAAGTATGTGCCTTTATGATGTAATACAGATGATTTTTGTAACTGTGGCCTTTCAAAAGATGTGTTAATGGATGAATGTAAAATATGTTCTTCTAAAATTACAAAATCTATCAAAGAAAGTATTGAAAAGAGAGACATCGGCACAAGTTTGCACAGGTATTTAAAAAAATGATGTTGTACATATACCTTTTTAACATAATTTATTATGCAGGTATACTTTTGAAAATTTACACTGTTTGTAAAATGTTGTTAGCTGGGAAATTATATTTATGTGAATATTGTGATTATTTTTAATTACATTTTAAAAATTTTATGCGACTATGCAATGTATGCGTGCAATATGTTCGGTAAACAATGATCACTTGAAAAAATCCTGAAACATCAGTATGAATCCGCCCGTCTCTATAGTGTTGATGGAGACACAACCTCGGTCTCAGGGTACTTTAAGCCCTCTCACAGCGAAAGTACCCTGGCAGCTCATGGTCACATTGTTTGACTTTATTTCCCAAATTTTGAGCAATAAAGCTGGGCTTGACCAATGGCTGCTTAAAATTTGGGCAACCATGTGACCATGGTCCGCCAGGGTACTTTCTCAAAATACCCTGGGACTAAGGTTGATGAGGAGATTATTGATAGTGGTTTGAAAGACAAAATGTCAATGTGGCATTTGACTGCTTTTGTTTTGCTAGGGAAGATCAGTCGGAACAATTATAAGAAACCTATGAAATAATAGGTTTTTATTCCTAGGGCTTGCTAGGAATGTAAAAGGTCAACAGCTTTCTGTGAGGTACGTAGCATGGCACCATCATCAAATGAGAATGAAAATTAGTCCCATTGTTTAAGGGAAAGCAGAGGCGTAGCCAAGATTTTCTGTCAAGGGTGGGGGTCAATAAAGGCCGGTGAGAACAGTGAACCAAAGCATACAAAAGTTAGATGTACCATGCAGGGATTACAATAATTTAGTGGATTACAATAATTTGTCCTTTTGAACCTGTTTTAGATAGATCAAAATGGCTTGGGAAAATCATTTAAGTTAAAATTATTAACAACAGATTTTCAGGAAAACACCATGGTTCAACAAAGTTAATATGCCACTTCCTGTGTCACAATTTTTCTTCAAACTTCATTATAAGTATCTAGAAATATTCCTATAGCCCTAGCTTAGGATTCTTTGTGAAAGGTATGGTGCCTGTATCAGCTTGTCGCGATCGTAACAATTTCATGACCTAACCGCTTGGACTAAATACCGTGCAATCTGTTTGAACATACAGGGATAAGTGAGGTATGGATTGGGAGGTTGGGGTATTGGCTAGTGCATTTATTAGCTAACCTTCCTGCATGTGGCAAATGTTAATAAGTATAGCTAGCTAAAAATCACTGAAACATACTGCACATAAATATGGGAATACAGCAATATAACAATATTAAATGTTGACTTTGTATTCTAAATTCTCATTTTAAAATGGATTGTTCTAAAGCTGTGGTACCCAATGGCTGTTCCAAAATCCATAGTGGCATTGGACTTTCAATTGTTAATTTTTCACCTTGTATGAAAGTTTGAATGGCTTTTCTTGAGTTACAATGGTTTTCCTCAAATCCTTGTGGATACTAGCCTGCGCGCAGACTATATAATGACATATATAGTCTGCGAATCCGAGGCATGAAGCTTGTATGGTCACATGAATTTCCCAAGAAAAGTTGGGATGAATTGTGATTGGTTGAATTATAATTATGCAGAATTAATGTTAATTCATCAGACATTGCGTTCGCAACGTGCGTTGAGCTGTTCAAAATTGACCGTTTCCAGGGTCAACGCAATGTCCGATGAATTAACACTAATTCTGCATAATTATAGTTCAACCAATCACAATTCGTCCCAACTTTTCTTGGGAAATTCATGTGACCATACAGGCTTCATGCCACAGATTCGCAGACTATATTATGTCATTATATAGTCTGTGCGCAGGCTATGTGGATACCAGCAACTTGTTTAAATATATACATAACCTTCCTCGTGTCGGTAAATTCAACGACGTGTTCCACTGTTGTTTGAGTTGTTTTGGTTGCAAAGCAACTATTTGCTGTGCATATGCGCACAATGTGTTAAAAAATTTTACACGGTAAATCTCAGCCTTCTTGTAATTTGAGAATGCCAAATCGATACTTCACGAACGGCAAACAGGTGTATTTCCACAATGTGATGCTCCAATTTTTCTAATTCGTCCTCGGCAATCACTTCTTTGCAAAGGCCACCTGCTATCTTTAACAGATTGTCGAACATTCTCGAAGATTCCACATATTTTGGATCTCCTAATCCTAAATCTTTTAGGTATTTTGCTTTTCTGTTTGACAATACGTTCTTAATAAACAAATTTAGATCATTGCCACTAGGAGTACTAGTCGCCATTTTGTTTTTACATATCTTCAATATGGTGAACTTAGCCTCGCTTTCGTGTGTGAGCGTTTTCACAGTAAAAAATCTCCCAATGTGAATTTATATAAAAATAAAAAAAATCATTTACTAAATTAGTACATATCTATATTATAACCAATTTTCATCTTTTGGGATATGAATTAGAAAATGATCAAAAATTAAAAAATGCTCCTTTGCTTTTTTTGGGCAAGATGTTTACAACATGAAATTTAGAACAGTAACTAAGTGTTAAAATTCAACAAAATGTGCAAGCCAAAACACAGTGCTTGTACATCTTTGGAGTTTTTAATTACCTCTAATATATTTAAAAGGACATATGGTACTAGAATGTATTTATTTTCAATATAAACCAAGGATGGGAAGGTGAGAAAATAGGAATTTTCTGAGGTGTTTTTAACACAGACAATGAGAGCCAACATTTTCAAAGGCAAATTGCAGTGACAAAACCAAAAGTTATTCACTTCTCTACTCAAAGTACTGAAAAACACCATAAAGAGAAAAACATTTTAAACATACATGAGGTAAGTGTTTTAGCTCAATTTTCTCATGTTTCTGTTTGGAAAGAAACGGTTTTTAGCCAAAATTATTTTGCTATATAAAATGTCAGATAGAAATAACCAGTTGCTATGGCATGTCTCTTTATCCAAAGACTAACAATTCTGAATCTTGTTACAGTATCTTCTCAGCATAATATAACTTCATAACAGAATGACATAATAGATATCTCAGTGCGAACCAGTTTTTATGCCAATTTTCTTGCTTTGTCATACATCTTTACTTTATCGCGTAGCTGCATTTTACCGTACTTCTTGGTTATTTTTAATTTTTGACAAGCTTCATCATTATTAATGCATTGCCAAATAGCATCAGGATCAAAGTTGCCTTCTTTACATAATGCTTCCGTAGCTTTCATGAGAGCTTGGATTTAATTCTCTAGGCAGAAAGATATTTTTTCTTCTTTGGAGATTTCTGTGGGCTTCTTTTAGTTGCTATATAAATGAATAATTGAATAAATAAGTTAAGTACAAAAACTCACAAAGTAAAGGGATTTTCAAAAAACTGTATTAGTATTTTTGCACAAGTGAACATAAATCCTACACATTGATTGGTCAAATTTGACATATTAAGCTGTTATATTCAGCTACACTGGAATATAACAAAACTGGAATTTTCAAAGTGGCGGCCCAGACTGGAAAGTTTGTATTGCGCAACCTAGATCTAGGTTGCGCAATTTCGGACCAAAAACGTGTTGAAACGTGCAAATTTTAAGAATTTAGCTATCCGCCGCGCATGTAATAATATTGTGCAATGACCGCCGCGCAAACGCGCGCAAAAGCGAGAAAGAAAGCACAAGAAGTAAGAAAACGCGAGAAGCAAGAATGCGCGAGAACACGCGTTGGAGCGCACGTGCATCACGTGACGTTTGCAAGATCGAGTTTCAAATGCAAATTTCAATGCGCTGGCAGCGGTAGCGCCTGTGGCGCAACGCATTAAGTTACAGCTTACTTCCGATTTGGTGGCTTAACCAATACGAATATGGCAAATTGTTATTTTTGCGGTATCGCGTTCTTTTGCTCGGAGTTTTCAAGGCGAACAACGTCGGTATTCGAAGTTACACGCTCATATTGTCTATTGAGTACTTTTCCTGTGGAATTCTGTGGAACGTCTTGTCATTCTCGAGAGTTGATTTTAAGAGGTGAGTGTGTGTAGTGTTCCTAGTTGAAGTATCTGTATTTCTGTTGCGCTTATGGAAATTTATATCGCGTAATCGCTTCTCAACAGAGTTACAAACCGGGCCTTTGGCCGTGTTCGGTTTGTCGAAATTATTAGCTTTATGAAGTCTTTTAATAACGTTTTAGTTCGATACTATAAAATGTTTATTGATTGAAACATGCGTTTTAGTTTCACGCCAATTCACTCACGTCTCATGGTAAATATAAAGATGGCAGAGATCCAGACAGTTAAACGAGGTAAGGCTGGTAATAAGGTGATTGACGTAAACAGCGTAAACTGCGTAATAGCTTAATAAGCGACCCACATATGTACTATTTAAAGCACGCGTAGGAGTGTTTTATCATAAAACACGACGCATAGCGGAGTGTTTTATATGTGATAAAACTTTTATATGTAATAAAACACGACTACAAGTGCTTTAAATGGCTTAAACTACTCATCTTATTATCTTATACGAGTTCATTGGCGATTTGGCCAAGTAATTTTTAAAATAAACGTTGTCTAAATCGAGAAAATCAAAGCTAAAGTCTATGTAAATTAACATGATTTTTTATCACATAAAAAACCACGACACGCTTATGATTTTTTATTGTGTATTGCTCCTGAATTATTAATGACTTTTTATTTATAAATATATTTATAATTTATTTTTGTTATAATATTAGTTTGTGCTTCATGTGAGAAGGAATGTGGAAGTCATTTTTGCAAAGTATGCAAAAAGGCCTGTCATGCCATTCCACCTTGCTCAACATCTACTGCTGAGGATGAAGAAGGGTTTGGTGCACAGGTGCTATGTAGTGGTTGTGCAAAGACTAAGGCGGTGGCTCAACCAAAGCAGATGACGATTTCTAAAGAAGGTGAAGTAAAGCGATAATATTAGGATAGAAACGTTTTATGCCACAGTTTTCTTTACACAAATTACATCCTGGCCCTGGTGGTCTGGTAATTATAGGAGTATTGCCACTTTGTATAAGATAATATACCTGTCGACTATTTTTACCTATACAAATTTTTAATGACATGGCAAAACTGTACATTAACGGAGACAAGGAGCTTGGCCTATCCAGACATAGCATACCTGTGTTCAAAGATCGACGATCATTGCAAAGACACGAAGGAGAACTGTCGAAGGTTTTGGAACGAATTGTGACTTCGCGACCGAAGTTACCTTTTCTTCTATAATCCATAACATTTTAACGTGCCACAATGAACCTGCTTTCTGGAAATCCTCGTGCCCACTTTTATCAACAGTACTATTATCCGGAACATTTTAGCATTATTGATGCTGAATTTAACCTGCATGCTGTTCTATTTATTTGGCTGTTCTTCTTCACATTTTTAACTCAAAATCCCTTCCAGTCCAACACCTGGTTGCTGAATATAGACATTTAATAACAGAGAACGTTCTGAACTTATAAACCTTCCTTAACCACCAGTCCACCACCTGGCTGCTGAATATAGACATTTAATAACAGAGAACTTATAAACCTTCCTGGTTGCTGAATGTAGACATTTGATAACAGAGAACTTATAAACCTTTCTTAACCACCAGTCCACCACCTTGGCTGCTGAATATTGACATTTTAAATCTGGCCGTTTCAATTTGATATCATGTTTTGAGGAAAGCTTCCTGCTGAGAAAATGGTTTTTCTGCTGATTTATCATCAACGAAGCGAATTTATTTGGTGTCAACCTTTCATGTATTTTTGGTAAGATGTTATGAATGATGAACGTAAGTCACCAATGCTAATATTACTGTACTTATATTATGGTATGTGTAGTGGTACTGCTAAAATGCTTGATGCCTTGATCAAAAGGTGACTTGAAACTGTACATTTAAGTGGGTAGTTAATGAAGTAGGTGTTTATTAATGTTGGTTTTCTTACAGGCTTACTATTAACTGAAGTAATTATTTTGTTAGACTGTTAGTATAACTGTTTGGTAGTGTTTGGTATATGCCTAAAGACAAAAAGTTGAAGAATACGAAATCCATTAATTTCAGTGTATAACCACTGTCGCGGCGCCAATGAGAAAGGTCAAAATTTCACGCGCAAAATTTCACGCCGGACGCGCAAAAACGAAAATTCGCCGCGCAAAATTTCTGGAAAAAATGATATAGATTGCGCAGTTTGCAAACTTTCCAGTCTGG